AATTTTAATTTTCAATTAGTTGTAATTCGTTTCAAGTTTTGATTAAACAAATATTATTTTAATGAATAACTATGAATTAATTTCATATCATGTTTATTTAGTGGATTATTCAAATGCCATTGTAATGAAACATTAATCGATATAACATAATAGATTAAATTAAAAATTTTAATAAAACTAATTATTACATTATATTTATTATAATTATAAATTAATTTATATTTTTAAGTTTTACATCGAGTTAAATATATGATTACTTAAAAAATATTGTTTATTAGATTTTATGCTTTTAGTATCTGGGGGTTTCAAAATCGGTATATCACCACATGTATGCCACAAGATTGCAAACAAAAATATTAATGGAAGATATATTTTAAAATATTAGTTTGGTAACAAAGATGTGACAATTTTAATCTTGATTATAATGATGTATTTTAATGAGAATAAGAATTGAAATATCTAAAATAAAATTTTCTAAAAAACAAAAATAACCTTCACGCTTATCAACCTATCAATTCTGTAATCATAAGAATTAAATGCAGTATTTTTAAAATACTATTTATTATAAAGACTATAAAAAATTAAATAAAAACTAGTTTTTGTGTTGTTTAGTATGAGGTTAATTTTTACAAAATAAATGGCAATAAGTGTTTAAGGATTTAATTTCATTTTATAAAAAAATCATACTTACTTTACTTATCATTTCTTTTTATAATTAAAATACATATTAAATATTAAAGTAATTTAAGCTTTCAGCACTTGGCTTCTCATATAGTACATTGAAGATTTAAATTAAGCAATTTTAAATTATATCAAGCATACCACATGTCACTGGCAATATTTCAACTTAAATGCTTTTGTTTATAGAGAACGTTAACTGAATACAGCACACGTTTATTTGCAATTATTATTACTGTAGTGATATAATTTATCAATTATAAATTAAGAACCAGTGTAAATCAATTTGAATTTAAACCAATATTCTTATAATTCAAAATATCTATTGTCAAGATATTATGTAATAATCGGGTTTGACCCATGTAATTTATTTTAAATTTTGTTTTTTAACACAATCTTAAAACTCATGGGAGTTTGGACGAGCAATACGCTAGGCTCAGCATCTAATGTCACTGTATCCTCATTCACCAATTTCAATTCATAATCATTTGTCAACTGAATAAATCTGACCAGGCATAAAAACAAGTTTGTTATAGCCATTGGTTCACCAGGGCATACACGACGACCCGTACTAAATGGTATGAATGCAGCCGGTTTGACAGTACCATATTTACCCTGGTCATCTAGAAAGCGATCCGGGATAAATTGGTCGGCATTTTTCCAATTATTCTCATCCATTAAAATACAACCTTGGTCCACTATAACGTATGTATTCGCCGGAATTGGATACCTGTTCCCTAAATTGTATTAATAATGCAACGAATAATATAACTAATGTTAATTTAAGCTTGCACATTGAAGTATCATACCTATTTTGGTGGACGAAATAGCCCTATGAAATACGCCAAGTGGTGCGGCATTTTTATACCTTAAAGTTTCGCTTATATACGCCATGACATAATCTAAGTTAACCTTGTCACTTATGACAGGAACATTGCCATTAAGCTTCTCATGAATCTCATCTCGCAACTTTCGTTGCATATTTGGGTTACGTATCATCAATAATATCATCCATAGAAGTGTTGTCATTGATGTTTCGACTCCGCCTTTAATACCCATTATTATAAAAACAATTATTTAAATATATTTTTATCTATAAATTGCGAACAATCACAAAATACCAATAAACAGGTCGATCATAACGGAGGATAGGTTTTCATCTGTAAAATACTGGGCCGACTGCTTGTCCTCGCAAATGGCTTTCAGTTTGGCGGCAATGAGTACATCACAAAAGTCTCGGTTTATGTCCTTATCGTATGTATTCTCATGTGTTTTGTATATATTTCTCGTGTAGTCCTTGATTTCGGTGAAATAGGTCTCATATAAATCCAACGGATTTTTCATAAAAGGTCGCAACAATGGTATGAACTCATAGAGATACATGGAGTTCCCTATGTCCAGTAGAAAATCAGTTGAACAATATTTAAACTTTTTCGACTCTACGTTCTCGGTATTGAACCTGATCATTCAAATTTGTAGAATAATTAAAACTTGTTATATTTGAAATTAAATGTGTTATTCAAAATAATCAATGTTCATAATCACTGATTGTATAGTATTTAAATAACATATTACAGTACATACTTTTCACTGAAAATAGTCGTCCCAACTATATTAGCAAACATATTAAATAAATATATTTTCGGGTTAAACGGCTTATTCAGACCCTCTCTACTAATCAAAAGTGCCATCATTTCCGTTACACTGGAGTCCACTATTGTTGCTAATTTATCGCTTTTTGAGTATTTTCTACAAAACCAACATTTTAATTTTTATTAATTTAACCATATTTTAATTATATAAAACTTAAGCATGATAATTACAAACCTAACGGCAGTTTGAGCGACTTGTCTCAAACTTTGCCAACTCTTACGATCTTCATTGAATAGGATGCCATTGTGACTGGCGTTGCTTAAAATGCTACCTGTGTCAATTATATTTTAAATAGAAATTCATTTACTTAATATTGCATAAATTTTATCTTACCCCATTGTGATGGGGGTCGACCTGTTAATTCCCATTTGCCAAAACCCTCCCGTGCCATATCCAGGTCACAAATAAACACAAATGGAAAGTTTCCAATCCATACCGTAATCACCGGGCCATACACTTCGTG